AGCCATCCATTTCTGATGAACAGTGTAAAGCTACTTCTTTTCCAGCCTTTTTCCCTGTACTGAAATGGTTCATGACTGAAATTGTTTCTGATTTATGAAATTGTTTCTGGTTTATGGCAATCTTAGATTTCTGGACATTGAGGCATGTGGCTATTCTCGGAAAGGTGAAGGAGGAAGAGCTAGTGAGATGTTCTGACAGCTCTGTAACTTCAACCTCTGAGGCCATAATCCGGAAGAAGTTCTCAGAAACCAAACTGGTCCTCAGGAAAAGCATCCTGTGAATATCTGGAAGAAAGCTGCAATCAAAGCCTGGAACTGGGTAAACTTCAGCATGCACAGGAGGGAAGTTTCAAACAAGAAAGTAAAGGAGTGAAAGGCAACAGTGGTTGACTTGCTTGTGTGCATCAACATCTAATGATCATAATACCATACTGTCTTCATATATGTTTTCCTAAAAAGAAAGAAATATCATTCTATATGCAAGACAAAAATGACCAAACCATGTTGTGTTTGAAGAAGAGAAATACAACTCTTTGCCAAGCCTTTGCAAGAGTCAAATAACCACAGACCTTCCATTCTTCCCCGCAGATATTTTTTTGTTCTGACCAAATGACAGCGGACAAGCCAGGAATCTAATATATAGCTGAATTACTGAGTTAACATTATGGCTTTCCATTAAAAAGGTTTGGAATCATTTGCGTGAAATACATTGATTTGCGTTGGTCTGGCTTTTGCAATCCCTTAGCAGCCAGTGGTACAATTAAATACACTCTGTTCCAGAAAACATTTTCTAGATCCATTACAACAACGAAACCGTTGACACCTTCAGACCGCCTATTCTGAGCCCCAGCCATACCTCACATAGGTGATTATGCTGCTGGCAACTCCATCTGACATATGCCAGGGGTATGCATGTGGTACTTGGAGTTACCAAGGCTCTGCGAAGGTGGCAGCAGAGCACTGCCTGGAGCAATACATCTTTCACAAGGGCTTCCTGAACCTAGGCGTCAGTGTAATTAGCGGGTGATGGATGCTGGATATGTGGATCTTGGCCACAACACCTGTGTAGCTGCCAAGTTCCTGGTGGCAATAGAAGCCAGGTTTTTGGCCCTGAATAATCACCAAGTTCTTCAAGAGCTTAGAAATTCACATAGCATTGCCCAGGAATATCTGTTAATTACTAATTGTGTGAGAATTGCTAGACTCTCTGAATACATAATGAAATACATGACATCTGATTTTGAGAAAGCGGACACCCCCAAGTGATGGGTCTGTGACACGAATGGCACTATTTTCCTGCTGGGATAACTATTTTCCCATTAAGATAATGATATGGGTGTGCTGGTCAATAACGAACAGCAGGAAAGGCATGCTGTCGTTAAGGGGAGACTCTTACCCCACCACCCCTGAAGTATGGTGTGGTCAATCCCCACCAGAACTTTATAAACCTTGCTAAAATTTTTCTTTTCATTATATCCTAAGAGTGACATGCAGAAAGAACAGTATCATACAGTACAAGAACATAATAGGCAATTCAGTATCAAGACAATGCTAACATGATGAGACTATTTAGGTGTTATATATTAGAAAATAAATTAAAAGGTGAATACTTTGCAAAGGACCTAATTTAGGGTATGATTCTAGATCTCCTGTTTGATGAAGATACACTGAAATCAGAACTATGTGCCTCAGCTTTGTCAGGAATTTTTCTCATTAAAGAGCCTGTGCCTTCTACCATTGTCAAAATACGGATTCTTATTTGTGCTCAGATTTAACAGAGCATTGGTAGGTCTTTCCAGCAGAATATGCCATTTGCTTTTCAGCCTATGACCGTGGCTGTCGCTTATGTTATATGCATTTAGTTTCTTCCTAGCAGAGGCTGCACATCCCTGGGAACAATGACAGACCTGCGCATTGACACTGACCACTGGGTGCTCGAAATATGTTATTTCCTTTGATTTACTTCAAGCATGTTATTTCCCTCTCTGCCCCCACACCCATATACACTTTGCTTCTTTTTGCTTGTTCCTTCTTTTATGCTTTTTAGCACTACTCAAAATTGCTGTTAGTTTTCTTCCGATGTTTTTTGAACTTCATGCAGTTTGTAGGTAAGTGTTAAATCTATCTCCACCATGGATTAATCCTGGTTTCTGAGCTCCTTATTCACGCTTTTAGACTTTGTTTCACTTCTGTAAATAACTCCTTCCTAGTTACGACAACAAATACACAGTTTACTGCTATTCCCACAATGCTTGTTTTCCTTTTCTCCTTATTTCAGAGAGCTGCTGGGTGTGTGCTGTGCCAAAGCTTCTGCTGTGCTGGCAATTCTTCTTCTATGACTGTTAACCTAAACCAGCCTCTACAGAATGCTTCTTTCAGCCATACCATCACAGTTTTCTCTTAGGATCCACATAGGCTGCACTGATGCTGCAGCTCCTGCGTGCCCACAGTTGCATGCACCCCCACATCAGATTGGTGTGTAGGCTTCAGTGCAGGTTGGGTTAGAAGATGTTCTTTGCACGTTGTCCCTCAGGTGGTTCATCAGGCCAGCTCCATCCTCCAGCAGTGTCACTGCAGTGAAGTGTGCAGTACTTGCACACGGCAGCAGAAGCTCTTGACTAGCTGGGAGGAAAGTCCTTCCTTTGTTGGTCATGAAATTTACAGTCAGCAAACAAACCAGGGAACAAAAATCCAGAAAAGAAGAAGCAGAAAACCAGCAGATTGAAAGAAGAAACACTGTTCTGAACAAACCATGGCTGCACTGGATTTGTGACAACCTTAAGACTGACAGTTTTGGGGGGGGTTGTGCAACCCTTCTGGACTCATTTACCACACAAATTTACTGTCTGCTGCACATTTTAGCATTCCCTGATTTTTGTCAAAATAGAAAGAAAACCAAGGCAAGACAAGTATATGGTCCCTAGTCCCATTTGAAGATGACCCCCCACCAACAATCCTTTCTTGATATTTTTTGATTATCCAGTTCTTAATTCAGCTTGATTTTTCTCCACCCACTTTCAAATAAGTTAAGCAACAAGGTTACCTTGCAAAGGGAGATCTGATTGGCAAAATATCATTTAGATTTTTTTTTTCCTGTTAACAAACAGACACTATTGATCTGAGGTCTGTGAGGAACAGCAAACATAAACTCTCTTGGTATTCGCCTGCAGAGTAATTTGTCATTGCAAAGCTGGACTTTGGCATACCGTCCTGAATTAGCCCTGAGATTTGCCAAGAACTTTTAAATGATCTTCCATAGAATCAGTGTATCTGTATTACATCAAGTCCTTATATGTTTAGAGGTATGAAGCCGACTGTTCATTACCAAATATTGAACAGACTAAATACAGTTCTGAGTAAGAAACTTTTGTCATTGTTTTACATGATATTGAGGAGGGCTTTGAGAGTGAATGTCAAGTGTTACACTGCTGGCACCTGGCAGAAAGACATGGAAAGGTTCTTATGTTCCTTATTGGTATACTTACAGCTATAGTTTACTAACATTGATAGCATTAATTTAATGTCAAAGAAAATAAAGATCCCCAAACCAGACGAGATAATTATATTTTAGAAATATTCACCATAATTTTTGAGTTAGATTTTTCACAGACATTTAAGAGACTAAAGTCTAAAAAGTTGCTGTTTATATTTTACTTGTTACCTAGCAGTTTGAGATATACTGTAGCAAAAGTTTTAACCAATCTGTAATTTCTTTCATTGACTTTCTATATTTTAATTAGACATGCTAAGGATGTTGATTTAAAAAATTAAAAAAAAAAAATTAAATATTTACTGATCTGTGTTTCTTTCCTTTCATAACCATAAAACTCTCTAGTGTATCTGGTATGTCAAAATACGATCAATCAAGTAGCTATAAAACAACACAATAGCAATAAGTTAGACTCAAGAAACCTTAAGTGAAAAGGTACAAATGTCAAGTCACAGTATGTTTTTACTCCATAGTGGTAATCTACTGCTAATATTTAGAAAGGTGGCTTCTCAAATATTACCTGCATTTTGTATGTGTGTCTATGATAGTTAAAAGCAGGCAAACAGTCCCTAGGAAAGCTCTGTTCTTCCAACTGAGGAAATGCAAACTCTCTGGTGTTGAATTTTTCATTCCACCTCTTTTCTACCACAATCTGACAAAACTAGCTGGAAAGCGGGATAGTGAAGGTGGCATCAGTAGGAGAAAAGAGAAGTGATGCTGACAACAAATCTGGAAAGAAGGAAACTGATGCTATGTCATAGACTGCTCCATGGGCATTATCTCAGGGCACTGGCAGTAATTGCTATATTAGCAAGACAAAACAGAAAGTCTTTTTGCTGGTATGGCTTCCTTCCTTAGAATTAACATTATTTGTAAAGGGGAAAAAAAAGGTTCTTGTCTTCATGAAGAAGGCTTCCACTGAGGAGGAGACAGAGGGAGGCAAGCTAAAAGAGCTGCACTCATCAATTCTTCACATTTGCGTGTCTTCCAGTGTCCCAGTCCCTGATCCTGCAGCTTCAAGCCATACTAGGTTAAAAGCCAAATAAATTAATGGAAATTCACTCCAATATTAAGGGAATCTGCATTTAAGATGAGTCATCAAAGGTTAGTGGATTAAACAGGCACAACTTATACCTTGCACCTCCTTTTCCCCGTTTCCCTTCTTCTGCTCTCCCACACACACCCCGTGAGCGTGCAGCAATAGCTACGTCATCCTGAGACTTCAAACCATCTCAAATACCCCACAGGACTATGTCAGGAAGGGCTTCTTGCAAAATCAGTGAAAAGTTACTTGTATTTTATTAATGTTACAAGCTGTACCTGGCTGTAGACTGGGGGGAAATACCAGTGACTTTTGGACAAGGAATAGCATGTTTTGGTGTTTAAGGGATTAATAATGTATATAAGGATAATGGCTGAAAGATGAGTGCTAGTGTGTAGTGATATATACACATAAATGTTTTGCTGGATCACAGGAATTCAGCCAGCAAAGTGCGTAAGTTCATGTCCTCTGGTCAATCAGTCATTTTTCAGAGGGTTTATGATTTTCCCTATGAAGAGGACGGTGCGGGTGTATTTATCCAGAATCACCAGGAGAAAGGGCCTGTTGAATCTGACTCGAGGCGGATGAGGAAAATCACCAGATCTCCAGGTAAGCTCCTTCACTGTGGCCCCTGCTGCTTCAGTGCCATTCTCATGAACATTTAGCATGGCTCTGTGGATCACCTGCAAGGACACAAAGCAAAACAACCTCCAGCTGACAACCCGGCAAGAAGAGAGCAGCCTGCCACCCTCCCAGCTCTCCCAAAAGACAGCCCTGCCTGGGGCAAGACTTGGAAGCACCTGACTCTGGGAAGGTCATCACCAGCCGCTCCCCTTCCCACCATCAGACCGCTCCTGGTAGCCTCTTTCCCCGCGTGTGCAGAGAGTAACCCTCGAACAGCAGACAGCCAAAGAGCACTCAAGATGACTGATGGCAAGAAATTCAGAAGGCAAAGAAACCTGGTAATTTAGCCTAGATTTAGTTTGGCCTTTGGCAGCTTCATGTATTATTGTGAATTTACCCTATCATCTAGCTGAAAAAAATAACTTTTTGAGAGCACTAGAAGGGCAGGAATAACAGCCTTTTGCCCTCTGTAGGCAGAATTAGAGGAAATTTTGCCAAAGCTAATGTGCTACCTTTAGATAATTTCGTTTAGTAGCCAAAAGAACATTTAATTATATGTGTATCTTCTTCCTTGTCCTCGAACCATGTATGTATAACCGCTTGTAAGCATGTTTGGCTGCAGATTTAGAACAGATAGAGCTTGATTTGCCTCCATACTGGCAGCTGTTGATGATTGAGTGATGCTTCAGAGAGAATGGGATAAACTTTTCATGGGATATTAATGTCAGGTTCTGGGAACAGACAAATCCTGCGGTCGCTGTGTTGCATGTGCTGACTTACTTTTGAAACCATCAGTCCAGGCTCCTCAGTAATCCCTGACAGATCAGCTTGTTCAGTGAACAGATCAATCATACCCACTTGTTTGACTATCCTTTTCACATCATAGGTACCAGAAATAGAAAGCTTTGGAATATGCAGATGTATTTTTCTGTAACAAATAACAAAATTATGGACAAATTGTCATCTACGCAACACTCTTCAAAGGCTTCAGTACAGTTACACTTCACATTTATTTTTCTAAATGTTCAAAGTCTGCTCTCAGGGTTCAGATAGCACTGCTGACCAGGTTAGATATTTAATGTAGAGGATTGGAGCAGAATAAGTGCACATTATCCTTTGTTTCTACAGTGGAGTTCAAGGAGTGGGTTGAAGACTCAGCTATACCAACTCTGTGGCAGAGCGACTACTGCAAGGAAGCAGGTTTTTTTCAAAAGATGATAGCTAGCTGTCCTAAGGCTGTTTGAATGTCCAACAGGGCCTGGACCATCACAGAAATAGCTGCAGTAATGTTGAATGAATAAAATTTCCACTTCTACGTACAATGACCTCAAAACCCTAACACCCAATAGCTACTCCATAGTCGTTTCACAGTGCCCTTCTGAAACAACGGTCTGTTAACTTCATCATGGTGCTGAGCAACTTGTGGTTGAGCCAGGAACTTAACCAAAGATGGATCCCAAGTTCAATGCCCTATTTGTTCACTACTCACAACCCTTTTTCATTTTCCAACTAAAAAAGGGGAAGTCCTGCACAGAGAGGGACCATTAAGTGAACAGAGTTCAGTAAAATAACCTTGCCTTTAATGTTTCATCTTGGTGAGATAAACACTTCTAGTCTATAACATGGTAACCTCTCACCTTAGCAAAAACACTTACCTGTCTTGGAGGAACTTTTCCCACTTAGACACAGTCCTTTTCAAGAGAGCATCTTCCACCTGCTTCATCTTCCCTTCGTCAGGCAAAATAAATAATGCTGCAGCATTTCCATTGTAAGGTATCTGAACCAGCCAACAGGACAGCTCTTCATCAAAGTAGTTTCTGTAGTAACCCTTTCGATACATCATGTCAACTTTTACAGATGTTTTTTGATCCACAAAGAAATCTTCCTGTTTTGTATATGAAGTACTGAAAGGTTTCTCCCAATGGGCTTATGACAAAAAGAAAAGTAATTCAGTGGATTACAAAGAGAAATGGTCACAGTGAATAAAACACTATCTAGTCCCACAGCCTTCCTTTGATAAGAACAAATATCTTTTTCAAGTTACCGCACCCTCAAGTGTTATAGCATTGCAGCTCTTTTTTTTTTTCCAAGTGCATGAAGACAATTCAAGACAGATAATTCTGAAAATACCATCTTTTACTAGAGTGTGAGTCTATCACCACATTAAAGAATCTATCAAACTCAACAAAGATATTTGTTTAAAAAAATCCAGTCCTTCACTCAACCAGGTGAGGGCACAAACGTTAGTACTGACAACAAATACACATGGGTTTATAGGAATATTTTCCAGATACTGAACATGGTTTCCTCCATTTAAAATATTTAAACTGCAGTTTCTTTCTCTTATGTCTTCATTCCCTGTAATAAGCAATAAGCATATAAGTTACAACATTCACACCCTTTGATATTTCTTACCTTTAAAGAAGACATAGTTAACAAGAACCATTGCAGTGAGAGGATCGAGGTTTTCCACTAGTTTAACAATTTTCCCATTTGTCTTTTCCTCAATATAACTGTTGATCTGATTCTCAGCACCAGAGGAGTTGTTAAAGTCAGAAGAAAAGACTTCAGATTCATAAAAGCCTTTGACATCATCCAAGAACTTCTGCAGTGGTTTTAGTGTCTCTTCTATAAAAAGGGCATTGCCCAGGCTCAGCTGGAGCTGGCTGGCCTTCGTGTATTTCCTGCTCCTGAGTCTTTTTCAGGTTAAAAGCAAGCCCTTCCAGAATCTGCGTCAGTGTTGCCGACTTGGCACCGAGTGCCAGCATTGCGAAGGAAGCAGAGATGCTGATGGGTGAAAAGAAAATATTTTGGTCGGTTGCTTCGGATGCAACCAGCTTGTAAAATGAAAATGCAAAGTCAGCATTGCTGGGAACTATTTTGACAAAGGTTTTGTTCTTAACTGGATAAACTCCTTCCCCATGAGAACTGCGTCCCTGGTAATATGTCCCTTTAGGATCATCCTGCTTGTTGCGGTAACGAGGATGCTGATGACACTGGGCAAGAGTATACAAACCAGCCAGCAGTAAACACAAGGAGAAGGTGGGCTTCATTTTCCTTTTAACTGTTTCTGGAAAAGAGATAGACATACAAAACATGGCATGGAAATGCATTTCTTCATGCTGTGTGCCAAGTAAAATGAGGGTCTCGGAACACACTTGTGCTCCAAAATTCCACACTTTTATGTTTCACATTCTTGCTGCATGCCAGTGATCCCCAGGAAGCCTGTGCCTCCTGACACACTATTTGTATTACTGAGTACTCTCTCAAAACAGGTTATTTTGATCATATTACCTTTTTTAAAAAATAGGGTAGGACTGAATTTTTAAAAATTTGCAAATAACTGGAAGCTTATGACCTTTTCCCCAGAGAAAGTTGGGAGAAGTTGGTTTTGTACTCAGTACTGCAGGATGGCTAATGCAGCCCTGTTAGTCTTTCAATTCATCAAATAATTAGAGAATTAAATCTGTGTTAAACAAAAATGTTATATAAACACAGATCATACTGTCTCAGACCAAAATTACAAAATACTTCTACAGTTTCTTCAAAGATAGAATATTGGATCGCTGGGGTAGCAAAGTCTATAAGAATCTCTATTTTTTCCAAAACAAATTTTTATTTAAGTATGTGAGGTATCTTCTTCACTAGGAGCCAATTCTTGCTGGCTTTTGGCATGTTTTGATTTTTTGCAGAACAGGTATATCCCTCTGTTTACATGTAAAAAGGCACTCTTCCCAGGCAACAACATAATCCCCCAAAATGAAACATCCAAATGATCCAAGGGAAATCTGAAAGGGTACTTACAGTGCTACAAAAAGGATCTTGCTGCGTCCATCTGGTCTTGTCTGCTCCTTCTTCTCTTCAGTACCATTGAACAGGATTAAGCAGAGCACCCCCGTTAATCATTAATTAGTTCAAGTAAAAACTGCCGGGGAGGATGCACAGCAAGCAGTAATGACGCTAGATACTCCGTACAGTTTGTCCAACCCAGAGGCAAGCTAACAGTGCTGGGTGGTGGGGCTGTGGACGACAGCGAGCAGAGCAGGGGCTGTATCTCCTACTGCTTCCATGCTTGTGGACTGACGCGAGAAGCCTGCTGCGCTGGGTGCCTGGCAGGAGAGCCATAGCCATACCCTTGGTGGCTGGAGCCAAATGCTGTGACTTCACGTGAAGGCCACCCCTTGCCTGGGTCTGGCTGTGGGGGACGAAGCCGCCAGCACAGCTCACCAGGGAGCGTAGCCTCTCTGCTGGACCGTCCCTCCTGAGCTTGGTCTTGGGGGACCCATAAATGGGACGAGGGTACTCTGCCGGAGTTGTAACCTCTCTGTCAGGATTTCAAAACAGGGTAAGCCACCTTCAGATTTAGAAAGTCCTTCTGCTTTACTGTATACCTCTGTCACAACCTTTGACACCACATGCAATGGTTTTGGGTCTTTTCCTGGGGGGAGCAGGCTGTATGTGATTGGGGAATGGTCTCTAGCTTTCTTTAGAGAATAACATGTGACATCGCCACTCTAGTGAGACATTTCCAGTCAATACAGCTGTTCACTGATTGCTCTTGGCCATCACCTGTGACTGAGTAGTTGGGGAGCTGGTGAAATTTTTCCCTTGGCTTTTTAGAAACTACACAACCAAAACACCACTGCTAAGAAACAGCACTTACATTGGACAGTTCCAGAGACTGACTGCCAGAAGAGACATAGGCTCAGTGAATATCTTGTTTCCTCAGGTTAGTCTTCTGTATCAAAGGCAGCTGAAATGGACCCAACAGTAGCTCACAGAACAGGCCGCCGATTCACCTTTCGGCCAGTGCTAAAGAAGACATGCTGGCATCACTGGATGCCAGGGTTGAATATCATGTATGGACAGATCACTCAAGGACAAACTAAGGCAGGAAATGATTTTTTTAACAGATCTGATGGCCCCTGTGGGACTCCTCTCCATTGTGTAGCGTGGTTCTGTCATTCCACTTAGCAGTTATAGTGTCATTCCCATAATGCAGGTGTGAAATATGCATTCTGCATCCTGTTGGTTCCACATTGCCAGAACACCCCAAGATGTTGATGGCAACCATCAACCATAATCCATGGATTGCTGAAGCATTGCCCAGTAACTACAAGTGGATTATGAACTCTCAAAAAGTAGCCAGCAATGTAAACTGGCTTATTACAGCTTAGAAGACAGTGAATAAGATTTACAAGATGGAAAACAGGAACTTGAGTATTTCCAGTTCAGCAAGCTCTGTAAATTATACCAATAATCCTAAATCTTCATTAACAGAGATCAGCTTGTTTATTAGCAGTGAGGCAGAAAGGACACAAATGGAGGGATGGCCTAAAGGATGCCTCCATTTTGACTGGGGATGCATGCAAGGACACAGATACCAATGCAGATGTTCTTAGCTCATACTGGCACTGCAATAATGTGGATATTTTCAACCTATGGTCCAAGTTCAGGACCTGTAAGGGAACTCTGAAAGGCAATCAAGAAACACAAGCCAGCATGCATCCCCTTGCATTCATTCCTCCCACCATTGCATTTGTCCTTGGAGCACCAAAACAAAGCTGTTCCCTGTAAGGCGGCATGTTACTGAACGTCACTGGTATCCATTCAAGGAGGATCTATAAACTCTGCTATACAGTTGGTGATGCCTACCCATACCAGAATTTCCATCAAGAGGAAAGACATTGGGAAGGCACCACAGCTGACAGGGAGGATGTGAGACCTGCTGAAGATGCTCCCCTGCCATAATCAAAGCTGCAGGGAAGAACTGGTTGCAGCTCTGAGGATTCAGCAACCATCTTACAGAGTGGAGGAAGGGAAGGTGAGGATGAGAACTGGTGGGTAAGCACCTGGAGAAGGCAATGAGGAGGAAAGAGAGGGCAGGTGTTAGTAAAGGACAGAAAAAAATGAGGCATTATAATATATCCAGTACCGGAAGTGAGACAAGAGACCAGAACTTCTGAGTGTCTCTACAGCTGTGTCATTAAATCATTGGCAAAACATGTCATGCTTATTCCCATTCTTACAGCCATTTTTATTACATCAAGGCTGGACAGTATTAATTCTGGTATTTCCTATGGCCTGTACGTTTGGCCTTACAACCACAATACTCTGCTAATGTTCTTCTTCGGGATATAACAGACCATTTTGTACCCCCAGCATCAACCTGTTACAAGACCCTCACACTTACAACGAAATGCTGTAGTGTATCTTACGTTTGACGAAAAACATAGATATGTATAACCTCTGCTGAGAATCAAAGTACTTTCTACTTTGCTCATTATTCCTTGTTATTTTCTTCACTTTCTAACCAAAGGTATATTTGTCAGCCTCAGAGATTCTGGAAGCTGGTTCTGTTTCAAGCTACCCTCTGATGCTGTCTAAAACCACATAAAGCAGGAAATGTTTATGTTGCTTGCAACAGCAAAACCACATTTATCATGGTCTATAGCTTAGAGAGCATTATGGGACTACCATTTACAGCTTGACTGCATCACAGGATAGCAATTCAGTGATGCCATGTTACCCAGCAGGTAGCTAATCCGTCCAGAGGAACTTCCTTTTCCAGGTTCCACTACACCAAAAAACTATATATATATAAATGATTATGCACATCATTCCTTCCTTACCCTCCAAGGGACCCAACACTTAGTCTTTTCTGTTTTACGGGATTTCTTGCTTTTATAGATTTACATTTTATTTCCTTTTGTTATATAGTTTTCTACCTTGCCAAGATATTAGAGGGACAAAATAATAATAAAAAAAATCCCCCACTAATTAACAATTCTGGTGTGCTGGAAAAATGGAGCATACTTTCTCAGCATGTTACATTTTGGGATTTTAATACTGACAACTCGTATACATTTTTCTGGAATGATGCTAACTGTCATGTTGACAATAAGATCTCCTAAAGGACTGTCATGGTTTCACCCCAGCTGAGAACTAAACACCACACAGCTGCTCGCTCTAGAGTGTAAATGATGAAGATACTAATTTTTTTTTGAACTGTATTGGTGAAGAGTTTCACCATCTTCTTAGAAAAGAGCACTAGGTAATTGGTGCTCAACACCTCTGAATGGAAACACACTGGTGGGGAGCTACATTTAGGAGTCTGAAGGCAGAACTGGAAGGGGAATTGCACCTTCTTCCCCTCAATTTCAAACCAAGTCCTTTGTCCTGTGGTTGTCTCATATGGCGTCATAGTCAAGCAGCAAAACACTGCAGGGCACACCATTTTCTTTTTGAATTCAGCAGTACTAATGTTTTGCTTACTAACTTAGTGGAGCACTTGTTGACTTGGTCTGGATACAAGACCCTCAATTCTTACAAACTGTTCTACCTGAGATAATCAGACCCAAATCACCCACTTGGCAGAGGAATAGCTTATCTTCAGGCTGCAAGAGGCTGATGAGAAAGTGAAGGGAAAGACAATTCTCAGCACTCCTTCTGAAGATCTTCTGCTTCAAAATTGAGTAAAATATAAAAAACTACTTGTGTGAGATGTGTAGACAATTGTGTGTGAACAATTGTGTGTGTTTCCATCTACCGGTGAAAGACATATTTATATATCTAAGTACACACACATATTCATGGTACTGGAGAAAGATCAACTAGTATGATGTGTTAATCTAATAACGCAAGCACAAGCCTGGGGGATAGGAAACAGGTTTCCCTCTGAGGACAATTCAAGTAGAAGAAGAAACAAAGGCCCCAGGAATTGTTTTTGAATGTTATATGTGATTGCACAAGATGTGCAAGTGTTATTAATTCTAGTCATATGAATAGTCTGTGAGTAGTTCTGCTAATGATAATCATTATCTTTGCTAAATCAGAACCTGTGGCAATAATTAATGCATTATGATTTGAATTGGAAAAAAAAATGAAGAAATGCTATCTCAAAGTAATCGCGATGTTTTGATAACAATAACTTCGGAACACTTTTCTAAGAGCCTTGAAGAATTACACATTTACTAGATTCTATATGCAATTGTTTTAAACCAAATTTTACTGATATGAAATGATGTAAAAATATTTTATTTACCAAGATTTTGTTG